TCTCGAACGAGTTATCCAATCAGCAAGATTTGTATAATAAAAAGGAGAAAGAATTGAACGATATATTGCACAAATTTGAAGGTATAATATAAAAAGGGTTTCATAAGTAAATACGAATTTTTGTTAAGAAATCAAATTGATCAGTTCGTTTTACAGAATTAAATGTACAATTGAAAGCAGCCGAAAGTAAAAATATTATGCTCGCGGATCAACTTCGAATTCAGGAACAAGCGACTGAAGATACGAACAAGATAATAAAGGAGAAGGAAAAATTGGTAAATGTTATTTAATTTTTGAATGAATATATTTCCTTTCCTTTTTTTTTTTTTCTTTGATTTTTAATCGATCGAAAGAATATTTTATTATTTATTTTAGTTTTGTCTTATTATTTTGTTCTTATTTAGGAAGAAGACTTGTCTATGTTAAGAGCTACGGCAACAGATTCCTCTGCACATTTAGAAAAATTAAACGAAGAATTAAAATTAAAAGACAAAGAACTTGTGGAACTTCGAGCTTCTATGACAACGCAAATCGAAGAATTAAAGAAAGAATTTCAAGGTGAAATCGATGCTAAATCTAAATACATCGAAGAGATTAATTTAGACGCGTCGCAGAAAACGATGATACTCAATAAGAAAGAAAAGGAGATTTCCGAATTGAAATCTTTAGTTGAGAGCAAAGATGAAGAGATAAAACATCTCGTAGAAAAGAATTCAGGTGACAGTGAATGGAAGAGCTTTTACAATTACACGATAATCCTACATATGATAATATTAACTGTTGTTTGGTTTTTTAGAATTACAATATGCACTTACGTTATCCGAGCAAACTAAAACGAATTTGGAAAGCGAACTACGTGTATTCGAATCCTCTATAGAGAATTTAAATCAACAATTAGCAAGGGCCGAAGAAAAATTCGTTAATGTATCTTCCCAAAAAGATAAAATGGTTAGTATATAACTATATTAAATGATGTATTATCAGAGAAAACAAAACAAAAAACAAAAAATATAATTACAAATGTTGTTATCCATTGAATTTAGGAAGTAGATATAGGTTTCTTGATAAGTAACTCTGCCAATTCCTCTGAGCAATTAAAGAAATACAACGACGAGTTACGGGAGAAGGAAAGAGATATTGATAAATTGCAGGATAAGGTGTATCAAGTGGAAAAAGATTTAACAAATACTCAAGGAAAATTAGAAAATACGGAAAAGGAATTGAATAAAAATGTTTCTCTATTGCAAGAATCACGTTTAGAAACGGAAAATGTTAAATCTCAATTAATCAAAGAGAAAGAACTTTGTCTTGAACTTTCGGAAAAGATTAAAAAACACGAATCCAAAGAAAATGATCTTCTTAATGAAATAGAAACTGCTAAAAATACGGAACTAAGTTTGAAAGAAAAATGTAACTTGATCTCCAATCTTAACGATAAATTGAAGAAAATTGAGGAAGACAAGGTTATTCTTCGTAAAGAGTATGAAACTGCAGAGGAGTCGTTTAAAAAAGAATCTTTGGATCTTCAAAAGCAATTGGAAGATGCAAAGACGCAATTAATCGCGTCGAAGGAAGAAATACAAGCTTTGCAAAAAGCAAAAGTTAAATTGGAAGCTAATCAAAGTGCGAGTCGTTGGTCGATCGAAGAATTAACTGACAAACTAAACTCGGAAACGGAAGCTCGTAATAAACTTGATTCTATTATTGCGGAAAAGGATTCGAAAATCAAATCGTTGGATGACGCGCTTTCTGATTTGCGACGAGAAAAAGAAATGATTATTTTAAATAGAGAAATGACTAATCAAGAAACCGTTAACACGTTGAATAGTATGGAAAATACTATCGCAGATTTAAATGAAAAATTAGTTGTCGCTACTGGAAATATAGAAACTAAGAGTAACGAATTGGCTATCGCACAAACGGAAGCTGAACAACGTAAAACACAAATTTCGGAGCTAACTGTTGAAACAGATTCGTTGAAAAATTCTCTGATACAAATTAATGATAAATTACATAGCTTAGAAGATAAATTAAAAGAAAAAGATAATGAACTTCATAAAACTGAAGAAGATAAAACTCGCTTAGAAAATAATTTCAAACAATTAGAAATAGAATTAAAGAATGTGCAATCTGATATAGTAACTAAGAATAATTTACTCGCTGAATTAAATGATAAAATAAAAGATGTACAAGACACTAAGGAAGACTATATAATTAAATTACAAAATAAGTTGGAGAGTGATATTAAGGCTAAAGAATCTGCATTAGAAATAAGTGAAAAACAAAAGAACGAATTGGTACAAGTTAAAGAGTCACTTGAACAATTACTTGCTACTAAAAATGCTGATTTGAATGCCAACGAAATAGCTATGAAAAATTTGAAAGAACAATTACAAGTTTTACAAGATAAACAGGAACATACAGTAGCTAAAGAAGACTCGAAGAATGAAGAAGTTAAAGCTATGACGAATGAGATTGAAGAAATGCGTAAAGAAAACACTAATTTATTAATTACAAAAGGTACTCTCGAAAAATTGATTATGGAACAAGGTAGTCAAATCGATATATTAACTAATACTATTAAAAGTAAAGAGAAAGAAGCAGAGAAAAATACGCAAAATCTCATTGAAAAATTAAATATTGTTACTACGGAAGCAGCCCAATTGAAAGAAGTACACAGTCGTCTGTATGTACTAAACAAATTACATCTTTCGTTTCCGTTTTTTGTTTTTGAATTCTTTTTTCTTAAATTATAATTTTGTCATTTCTATCATCTTTTTCCAGGGAGAAGGAAAATAAACAGATTGCTTCAAAATTATCTGAGGTTACGAATCAATTGAAATTATCACGCGAAAACATAAAAAATAATTTCGATGTAGGTTTCTAGTTTTTCTTTTTCTTTGAAAAATTCATTAATCTCTCGTTTTATTGTAACATTTGTATTTTATGAAATAATAATATAGAAATGATACATTTTAGGCAGCTGGTGGTGACGTGAATCAACAAATGGGTATATTACTTTATTACTTATAATAATTAATTATAATACTATTTTCAAATAATTATTAATATTATAATCTTATTTAATTTAACAGATAAAGATATCGAGGTGATAAGATTGAAAGAAGAAAACGAATTAGTTAAAGGTCAAATTGATTTCCTAAACTCTGTAATAGTGGATATGCAGAAAAAAAATGAAACTCTTTTGTGTAAAATAGAAGTTTTAGAAATGGGTGTACCCGCAAATGAAGCAGACGATTATAATCGGTTTGTATACTCTTTTATTGATTTAGAATAATAAGTGCAAATGTGCAATTATATAAAAAAGAAATTGTTATAGGACCACGCTAGACAAACGAAATAAAGCACCTCGCATGTTCTGTGATATTTGCGATCAATTTGATTTACACGAAACAGAGGATTGTCCGCGTCAAGCTCAAGATTTTACCGAGCCTGAGAAAATCATTAAATCTCCGAAAAAATCTTTGGAGAGACCATATTGTGAAAGTTGCGAAAGTAAGAATATTATTTTACTCTCTACTATATTTTCTTTTTTAAATTTGTCTTCAAATCAAATAATGCATGTTTATTGTATAAAAAAAGAAAACCTTACACAAATGTTATCCTAGAAAAAAATGATAAGTGCTAATAATTTCACATGTTAATTGTTTTACAGCCTTCGGACATGATACACGTGATTGCGATGATACAGAAACATATTAATGTCGTATTGTTATCTGTAGTCCTATTTACAATGCTTGCCAGAAATCCTAATTATATAAAGACATTTGTTAAAGTTTGCAGAGAGTATATTTTTGTATCAGAGAAGTACAATCAGGTCCTAATGTGTGAGCATGTCTTCCTTCGCATAGGATTAATATTTCTGCATAAGTTGAGACATTTTATATAGAAAGAAAAAGAAAAAAGAAAAAATAAAAAGAAAAGAAAATGCATCTTTCCTTCCATGCTGTCACAAGCACAATGTATTTAGATTTGCGAAAATGAACAGCTATTTATTTTCTATTTATATTGATTCAATTGTTAATTATCGGGGCGTGATAAAATCTTATTTAAAGACATGTTAACAGTGGTGGTCCTGAAGGGGAAAAAAATAGACAGGGTTGTCTACTAGCAGATCTATTAAATAATTCATGTTAGTTGAATACGAAAAAAAAACAACCACAATTGTAATTATGTATATAAGTATTTATATTATCAATCGATGCATCTCCTATTTAATATTTATTACGCACAAAATGTGCGCAATACTCTTAATAAGTAGTTCCTCTCTTTCTATATATTTATATTTGGCACACGCAGTTATTTCGTTTCTAATAATACACTGTATACTTTTAAGTATACAGCGTATATATTTCCTATGAAATATATTTTATCTTCATATTTATTATGATATGTTAGTCATAGGGTCAAAGTTGATATTGGTTGTATAAGTTAATGCGTTAATAATTTCTTGGTTACGCAAATTAATTTATAATATTAGGAAAAGAAGATACTCTTTTATCCATTTACATAATTTGCTTGTTGCTTTTTTGTACCTGACAGATATGAAGGTATTCCACTGTTGATTATCCAATTTTTTTCTTGTTAATAATTGTTCTAACAATTTAACTGTTATTTAAGTCTCGTAAAAATTGAATACTCCAGTATAAAAGAGAAAAGAAGAAACAATTATTATCTTGTGACTATTGTCATTCTATACATATATATATCAATTTATAAACTTGCCATAAAAAATTTGTGTAAAAAATAAATCGAAGGAAGTACTTTGTAAAAAAAAAACAAATTATGAAATAAAATTGATACAGAAATAAAGTAAATATTCAAGAATAACATTTTTTTCAAACATTATTATACATTAATATTAAATAATAGTGTATATTTTATTAGAGATAAATATCATAGAAAATTTGCCATAATTTATTGGCCATTTTGAGAAAACAAGCTGAGAAGTCTCAATTAAATAGTTAAAAGTTAGTTTAACCCGAATTGAATAATTGCTAATGCATATTTATATGTACATTTATATTAATTCGTAAATACTTATAATTAGTTTCCAATTCATTAATCTAATCCTTCCTTTTTTTCTTTTATCGCTTCCTGAAATGAAAAATAAAAAACTGTTGTGTGTAGTTTTTTTTTAATAGAGTGCAATATATGTTCCAAAATAATTACCTTAAAACGTTCTTCAAATAATGATAATTCAGCTATTAGATCAGTTATTGCGTGCATAAAAGCTTCGTGTGGCGTATAGTCTGACGTTGTTTGTATCCTAATTACAAATTTATGTTCCAATGGATGAGGTACTTTGTAGCCAGCGAACAAAACTTGAGGATCTTTTAATAGTTGGCTAAAATAAATACAAAAATGATGTTATACTTTATCAAATCAAAACAAGTGTACATAAGGTACAATTAGGATAGAATATTATAAAAGTGATAATATACTTTCTAATCATATTTCCAAGAGTATGATCTTCTTTGTTCACTGTGAAAATTGCTGCATTTGGTACTTTAGTGTCCTGCTCCTTTATTATCCTTTTAATATAAAAAAAATATCAAAAGATATTGAAGAATTTGTAGAGGTTAGGTTTAAATAAGTATTGTTTTCTTACTTTTTCTCTCCCTCGTAGAGCAAGAATGATTCAAAGGTTGGCGGAGCATTCATGTTGATATTAAATTTATAAAAGAATTGTACCTTTTTGTTATATATTAATATATTTTTTTCACTTTGCTATTAGCAAAACAACACAAATATACCGACATCTACAACACTTCGATGAGTACTACTTGTATCGTTGAGTGTTCGTACTACACGACGAATATCGATTGACATGCTATAACAAATATGAGCATATTTGTTATAAATTTATATAGTTTAATATTAAATAAAACCAAGGATTATATATAAAAAATTATATTAAAACATTAAATAATAATGATAATAATATTTTAGAATCTTTCAAGTATATTTTTAATGAAAATATATCGTAAAATTTTCGAACACACGAATCGAGTCGTAAAATCGCGGCCGTCTATGTTCGTGTAAGATCGTGAGAGTTCGGAATATGTAATAGTATAATATATATGAGTTTGTAGAGTCGCTCGGGACTCTTCTTCAAACGTCGGCAGAACCTTAAAGTAGTTGTCAAAATGGCGGGTGAAGGTTCTACGGCCGTGAATCCAAATTGCGAAATCGTTCGCGGTCACACGTTTGAAGTTGGTCCGCGTTACACAAATTTATCGTATATGGGCGAGGGTGCATATGGAATGGTCGTGTAAGTGTCATCCTTCGTAATTTGCTGTCATTTGTGTTGAGTTTCGTCGATATGTCCACTCTGCGTGACAGACTACGAGATAAACAATTTCAAATCAGATTGTTGAATAAATTACGTATTGTATTAATCGTTTGTTTGCATTCTTATTATCGTTCGAGATTTAAAAGCATAGGAATATTTATTTTCCATCGTAATTATGTGCTTTTTGTCGGCGCTTATTGTTACTTTTTGGCGCGACTTTTAAATTCACGTCACACCCCTTTATTCTTACTACGACATATTACTCGAGGTTACACGATACAAGGCGATAAAAAAGATTATCGTTTTTGTTTGAATTGTTTATCGGATCACTTATCATTTTTATTATCCTACGTACACATATACACATACCTATTATACATATATATAATATACATATTATATATATATATATACATATACACATACACACAAAGTATATATATATATACATAGTAAGATTACAACGTGCTATTTGTGGAGATTGGAAAACAGCGTGTAATCGAAAGTAATGTAATCTATTTGAGATCCTAAGTTGTTAAAGAACTATAGGAGATAGATTAATAAAACCATTTTCATTATTTTATTATTTCATTTTAGTAGATTTTGTATTTTTAATTTATTAAATTAACTTTCTTTTCATTATAAAAATATAATATTTTCTTTGCAGATCCGCTTACGATAATGTAACAAAAACAAAAGTAGCTATTAAGAAAATTTCTCCCTTCGAACATCAAACTTATAGCCAAAGAACATTAAGAGAAATTAAAATTTTGACAAGGTTTAAACATGAGAATGTAAGTTCGAAGAGACAATATTTCATATTTATTGTTTTCTGTGATAAACAAAAATCATTCATTTAGAATTCCGACAATAACTTAACGCTCTCTTCATTTGACTTCAGATAATAGATATAAGAAATATATTAAGAGCACCTACCATAGAGCAAATGAAAGATGTGTATATTGTTCAGTGTCTGATGGAAACTGATTTGTACAAGCTTCTTAAAACGCAAGTAAGTGTTTATTATAAGTGTAGAAGAAATAATATATAAATAATGTAAGATTGCTATTACTCAAACATGCGTTGTTACTTTCAGGCTATTAGCAATGATCACGTATGTTATTTTCTCTATCAAATACTTCGAGGGTTAAAGTATATTCATTCTGCGAATGTCTTGCATAGAGATCTCAAACCAAGCAATTTACTTTTGAATACCACCTGTGACCTTAAAATTTGTGATTTCGGTTTGGCCAGAGTGGCAGATCCGGAACACAATCATGCAGGCTTCCTTACAGAGTATGTCGCTACCAGATGGTATAGAGCGCCAGAGATAATGCTTAATTCAAAGGTAAACAAATATAATTAATTAAAAGAATAAATATTATCTTTGATATTTATATTTTTGTATATTTCATTTTCTTTTTATATTTACAGGGATATACAAAATCTATAGACATTTGGTCAGTAGGTTGTATCCTTGCTGAAATGTTATCTCGAAGAGCAATATTTCCCGGTAAACATTACTTGGATCAGCTTAATCATATCCTTGGTGTCATTGGATCTCCATCTAAAGATGATTTAAATTGTGTCATAAACGAGAAAGTAATGGAAAATATATTCTATCTCTCTCTCTCTCTCTCTCTCTCTCTCTCTCTCTCTTGTTTCATTTTGTATACATTTTTTTTTATTCAATAGTGAATTTTATAATTACAGGCTCGCAATTATCTTGAATCATTACCGTTCAAGCCAAAGGTACCATGGACAAGTTTGTTCCCAAAGGCTGATCCAAGAGCTTTAGATTTGTTGGATAAAATGCTTACATTCAATCCTGATAAACGGATTGCAGTGGACGAAGCATTGGCACATCCGTATTTGGAACAGTACTATGACCCATCTGATGAGGTAAATATTTGATTTTCATTCGCATTGATTAATTTTACAATTAGAATATTATAACGAAATTAATGAGATTATGTATTTTCCTAAGCCTGTCGCAGAGGAGCCATTTAGATTTGACATGGAGTTGGATGATCTTCCAAAAGAAACTTTAAAGGAATATATATTTGAAGAAACTTTACTATTTCAACAAAATCACCAACAACTAAATGCGATGTAGTTTACTGGTAATTATTAGGAAGAACACATTTCTATTTGATCATTTAAAAATATTTATTAACAATATTATAGATTTGAGGCTCGTACCAACGATTTTAGCTACAACTGCAAGTTCATAGGATGACCAAAAAAAGAAGAATCGGAAAGTGTGAGATAAGTGAAAGAAGTAATAGAAAGATACTTCCTACAGCTGATCAGCTGTTGTCCTATTAACTAGGAGAAACACGAACGAGGAAATTTTGTTAAAGGTTAGTCCTGCAGTTAACAATCAATCATTCGGGTACTGAGAGTTTATGCCCAATAAAAAAAAAAACATACACTTGTACATTCACACGTCTCTACCGAAAAAAAAGAAAAGGAAAAGAAAAAAAAATATTACAGTGTTTTTTTGTTACATGGAACATATATAATATATATATATATATACATATATTTATACATATATACATATATACGTATATCTATATCTATATATATATATATAATAATTTTCATCTGTATAATAAGTTTTATTTATCCCTAATTATATATACATACACACACATTATACTAATTAACGATTTATTGTTAATCATCGTCATTACACTGTCTGTGATCTAATTACCGAGTAAATGAAGATGCGGTTGATGTGTTTGTGTGCGATGTTCGAAGATAAGATTAAAATAATGCAATTGATTAATCGACGACAATTGTGTATTGAGACTTCGAAAATGGTGTATACTCTTTATCATTCGAATTCATTTATATTCGAATATATGCGATTTTACATACGATTGTCGTGCAGAGGTTCTGAGTTTTTTTTCTTATTATTATTATTATTATTTCTTTTTTATTTTATTTTATTTTATTTTATTTTATTTTTTTAATGTTACACGAAGCAGTTAAATTAGTTATTATTGCCAATTGTATCTCTCTTTTATTGTACAAGATAAGATTGATGATTAATTACCAGAGCATTTTCGAAGTAACTTCCAGAATTCCTAGAACGGTGTAAAGATTATTATCACATAATCTCGATAAGACGATTCATTTCTACGAAGGATAAAATATTATTAAAAATTCTTTTTTTTTTTTTTTTTATCACATCTCATTTACTTTCCTCTTTAAATATACTTTTAATTACATCAGAATTTTCGTCAAGCCGATCGTAGCAGCAACATCAAGGATACCTGCCATTATTGCATACGCGATGATTATTTGAAGCCTAGGGAAACTTAATTAAACATTCATTAGCGCGCACCTGACGAAACGTTTGATTTTAATCAAAAGAAAAAAATAATTAAATAAATACAAAATCCATAGATTTAATATACAATATATAGGTCGAATGTTTCAAAGCTTTAAAAGAAACGCTCTCCCTGATACTCTGATAGATTAGACGGATCAGGATTAGAAGAAGTTTCTCTTATGCTTCAAATACTCATTTCCTAGCGAACCTGTTAAAAGAGGTATCCTTGAAGTTAATTTTTCTTTTTTATAACGCGTCTCATGATTTTCTTAGCAACGTGTTACATTGAACATTATCATTCAATCCGTTCGATCTGCATAAATATTTGATACCATAAAAAGGAAAAAAAAAAAGAAAAGAAAAGAAAAATGTAGCTAAATTTATTTCTTTAAGCGAGTAGAAGGATAAACTCTCACACCACATATACATACATACGTAAACGTATACACGATGTTAGAATGAACCCTTTGCACTGGAACGTGTCATCTACATTTATTGTATGCACCGGCGAGAATCCAAGTTCAAAGGGATTTATTTATATGATTAACAAAGGAAACAACATTAACAACAACAACAACAATAAGAACACACTAAAAAGGAAATAGTGAGTCACATGCTCATACATTTTACGTGCACAAATAAAAGCATGTCATCTGCGGTAAAAAATGTTTATGCGGTTAGAAGGAGGAGAAGGAGGAGGAGGAGGAGGAAGAGGTGGTAACAGAAATATATGTGTACGTGTATATGGGATGAATATATGTATTTGTACATACACATATATTTTGAAGTGGAAACCAAAAGCGTGGAACACGAAAGCGATAACCAAACGACGAATAACTAAGTCTCTTTGTTTCTTTGTGAAGAGATTTTTAAGCTTTACGAAGAAATCAAGTTTAAAACTTTGCATCAAAAGCTTTAAAAAAAAAAAAAAATAAATAAAAAAAAAAGAGAATTATTTAATACAAGTGTCTACGAGAATTATCGGAGTTTCGTTGTATTTTTTATTTTATTTAGAAATAATTAATTTTAACAAACAACAAAATACATTTTTACACCCACTCAGCATACGTATTTCACGTAGAATGATAAAAAAAAAAAAAAAACAAAAAAGAAAATAAGAGACAAAATAACAAGAAAATAGATTATATTTTAGTTTTTAAATAATTATAAGATATAAAAGAACATTAAAGAAAATAACAATTTTATAGATTATGCTCGATACTTCTTTTAAAACGTGGGAGATGTATATTAATTGAATACTCGCTTTTAATTTGAATTTAAAAAAAATAAATGAAGAAAATTTTTACTGACATTGACAAAAAAATACGAGGACTATGACTAATCACATACATACATACACACACATATATATACACTTTGAAACGTGGTTTTATTTTTGATAATCGAGCGAGGCTCGCGTATAGAAGGAAAGTTGGAGTAAGTCGATACGGCCTTGTGTCGACGTTTAGAATGCTCTCTGAGAGAGTAGAAAAAAGAAAGAGAAAGAGTTTGTGAGACAAGAAAAAACAAGTTTGAAGGGCAAAGCGGTGTCATTCGGTTAACTTTTTGTTAACACGTTTCAAGAAAATGGAAAAGTAATGTCGACATTCAAAAACGGAAAATATTTCGAATTTTCTTTTTCTCTTAAGAAGTCGTCTCAATTTTGCAATTCGACTATTTCAATAAAATGCAAGGAATAAATGAATTTAATATTAAATTTTTACAATTTTGTTAAAAGAAATAAATTTTTTTAATAAAAATTTTTTTAATTAAAGTAACAGAATCCTTGAAAAAAGGGAAAATTAATTTAATAGATTTCTCGTTGTCTTTTTCTTTTCCTTTTCCTTTTGGACGATTATTTTTAGCTTCGAATTTAATGAAAAAAATTATGATCAAAGTTTGATGAGTTTTATTAATAGATAAAAATTTGTTCTTTTTTTTTTTTTGTTTATATCAAGTCATCTCTTTTTCTTTTTCTCTTTCTCATTCACTCTCTCACAATCTCTCTTTTCAATTTATCGATTAAATTCAATCGAGCATATGCATTGGGCAGCTGGTGGTCAGGACGGTTGGTGAATGTGTCTTTTTTTATACTTGGGAATATTAGTAATACCCTTGACAAAAAATTAAACACTATGAGACCGATTTTATATCGAATGTTTAAACGTGACGACGATTATTTATTTTATTTTATTTTATTTTATTTTACTATTTCTTTTTTTTTTATTTTATTTTATTTTTCTAAGGACAAAGGAAGAAAAAGTAAAACGTGCATTAATTTTTTTGGATCTGCTGAGCATCCTTCTATTCTTCCTCGAAATAAAAAGATCGTTCATAGTTGACCTTTTTTTTTTTCTAGGAAAAATAGAAGGAAAAGTTATACAAAGAAAAATATCTTCTAATAATAATAACAATAATAATAATAATAATGATAATAATGATAATAATAATAATGATAATAATTAAGAAAAACAGAAAGAGTTATAAAACACAAGAGAATGCGAATTCAATTAACAATTTTTCTCTCGATTTAAAAAAAAAAAATAAAATAAATTACTACGTGCATAATATTTCTTCTATTTAGATAAAAGACCATTTTTCTCCATTTTTCTCTTATGGTTAAGCTCTTATCGTTACAATCGATGTTTGTCGATTTTTCCGAGACGTGTTGTCGGCGGATCAAACAAAACGTTGGAATTTTACGAATTAAGATAAAAAAAAGAAAAAAAAAAGAAAAAAAAGAAATAAAAAGTGCAAAAAAAAAAAAGGAAAAAGTAATAAACGAGAAAAAAATATTGGTGTGAGGTAAACAATTTTTCGGGTATAAAAAATTACATTAAAACGTAAAAGAAAAAAAAAAAGAAAAAAAAATAATACGGGACGACAGAAGTAAAAAAAAAAAAAAAAAAA